GTAACATAATCACCCACCCCACGCCGTCTGAGGCGGCCATACCACCCAAACCTATTCCTTTTAGGGTGAAGGACCTAAACTCAGTTAGGTCCATCTTGGTCAACAACAACACGTCTTCATTGTTCTACGCACGATGTTCTGGAAGGCTTGAAGAACCTTGTGGTGCTGGTGAGTGAGTGGCTTTGAAGGTCTGAGGAAACGTGAAAGGCGTGTCTTTGGTGGCCTCGGGAAGCCCTGGGCGGCCTCTGGAAGATTCTGGGAGGGGGAGGGAGCCCCAAAAGGTCCCTGGGAGAGGCAAGGGCCTTGGCAGCCAATTTGCAGGGAAAAGACTTGGGGTTTAGGGTAATTACTTTATTAAGCAACCAGTACTGGTTGCAAGGAGAACGGTTCCGGTATCGGGCCTACCATGGGTGCTACCGATCTCGTGGCTGTGCTGAGGCAGGTCCAGCTAGGTCGGCTAGCCCAAGGGTTTCAGGCAGCATAGGCGCCGCCCCATCGTAGGTGGGCGGCCTATGCCTTGAGTTTAGGGTCTAGGGTTTAGGGTTTAGGGTCTAGGGTTTAGGGTTTAGGGTTTAGGGTTTAGGGTTAGGGCATTGCAACCACCATGCACCCCCAAAGCAAACCCGGAGGCCGCCCCAAACATGGCGCCCCCAACCTGCATCCGTAAACCTCAGGGTTTAGGCTTTGGGGAAAAGCTTGGACCCTAAGCCCTGAACTCTAAACCCTGAACCCTAAAACCCTGAACACTAGACCCAAAAAACCTACACCCTGAACCTTCTTCTAGAAACCCGAATCCTAAATCCTAAGCCCTAGAACATACTAAGCCCTAAACCCTGAACCCTAAAACCTGCTAAGCCTTAAACCCCAAAACCTGCTAACCCCTAAACCCCAAACCCTGTGATCCTGTTGGTAGGTTGTGGAGTTGATCTGCCCGAAGACGCAGGACATAAAGACCACGACAATCACCTTTTAGGTTTAGGAGTTTGGGCTACGGGGTTTAGGGCTTAGGGTTTAGGAGTTTGGAGTTTGTGCTACAAGGTTTAGGGTTGAGGGCTTAGGGTTTCGGAGTTTGGGCTACAAGGTTTAGGGTTTAAGGTGTAGCGTTTAGGGTTCAGGGTTTAAGGTTGAGGCTTGTATGGTCTATGGTTGAGTTGATTCGAACTTTTTAACACATTCCCTGAATAGGCCTTTCATGAAGACATAATGCACTCTGTACTATCTCTAGATCTATATTCTTTTTGTAGGGCCTGCAGGGGTAATCCTGCTATGAGATTCCCCGTCTTGGGTTTACCCTGATGGTTCTGTTGCGCGATTCTCGGCTGATTGGGTGCTACGGGCATTTGACGGACTGCCCGGCCTAGGGAACCCTAAAAAAGTCAGTAGAATACATTAGGCCCAGCCTGTAATAGTGGTAGATTAAGAATATAGTGAGACCCTAATAAAATCCTGATCCCCGATAGTCACTATTACAGGGTGGGGGGTCCCCGTGAAGAATAAAGCCCTGCTCCAAGAGCCCCAAGGATTTCGAATAGAGATTCAATACATTCCTATTCAATTTGTACTACAGCTCCAAGAGTGCCAATCATTCCTTTAATCTGGCGCACTCCATTTCTTATTCTGGCGGGGGGAGGGGGGGGGGGCAAATTAATCCGGTGCTAGGATTAA